TTTCAAAGCTCATAGAAACCTATGCAAAGCAACTTGCACTTGTAATTGCTGCAAAATGGTGGCTCCATAAAGTACTGAATTTAGCAGTATATGTTGAACTTTTCTGTTAAATTTCCCATTTATGGTTTTCTTCATAAGAAAAGAAAAATGGTGTGAACAGTTTCTCAAGATGTTTAAGATGTAGCAGCTGGAATGGGGCTCTCTCAGTCTCATCTTGTGCATTTTAGTAGATATGAATAACATCAGCTGAGGTTCCTTAAAAAGACAACAGATGGTGCAATTTTCTGACATGTTCTCAGTTTATCAGTGAACATTGGTTTAATACAAACGCAACAATGATTCAGTAATGTTCACAATACATTCACATGTTCATTTTACCATTTACTGACAGGGTGGCAAATCAGCCCATTCACATCCACTGAAAGAAGCGTAAAGTATTTCTGCGCCCACACGATCAAGAAAGTTATTTAATAAGTTGATCAATGCCAGATGCTGACTGGCTCAGATTATCCTAGAAGGATTAACACTTGATTTCTTCTTGAGACAGAAGGCTAAAACTAGTGGAGGAGTCGAGTAAGTACCTGAGTTTATGCTCATGATAGTCTCAGAAAAGTGCGTGGTAAATTTCGGCATTTCTCTGTAGCAAAGTTGAATGCTGATCCCAAAGAAAGTGGAGAAGTTCACACATTTTAAGAAATCCCCTCAAACACGTTTTCAGTCTTTTCTAGCAATGTTTCCCATTGCTGGTCTCCAAAGGACACTGCCCTGCATGTTTTAAATGCTTCTCTGCTTTCAACACACCTGATTCAGATGCAGGCTGATAATTAGCTAATCAAATCAAGTGTACATCAGCAGAAAAAGACCTAAAATATGCAGTCAGCATTGAGGACCAGAGTTGTGAGACATTGTTTTAGAGGATGTCTGCATCATTCATATTATTTGAATGAAACATTACCCGTCAGCAACATCAAGGGAAGCTGAGAAAGTAATCAATGCTTTTACATTGATCACCTGGACATCAGACAGTTCATTCAGTATTCTGGAGCTTGGATTCCAGCCGTTGTTTGTTCTTGATTGAAACCTAAATAATGCAAATCAAAGCACTTGAGGGAAGCATACCCAAAGATAAGAGGCTTTAAATTACTACATTAATTAAGGCCCTTTGACTACCAATAGTTTTGAATTCAAAACCACTTCCTATGAAAACAATACTTTTCATAATTTAATCCAAAGTCCATTCCAAAACTATTTTCTGATTTTATCTTTTAACTCAGTTTACAATTTGTGGCTTTTCTTCAGCAAATTCAAGAGGAAGAAGGTTTTTTATATGTATTAAAAAGTTTAAAATAAGAAGTTTCAAACTTCAGCCATGCTCATTGCTTTTAGAAAAACATATTTGAGAAATCTTCTTCCAAAGGCTCTCATTGGCTATTTGTGCAGTAAACTTTGACAGACAAAACGAAATAAAGCTGGATTTAACGTTGTGTAATGAATTATTTTTCAGAATTGCTCAGTACTCAATGTGGTGAGACTGTGGTTGTTATGTAAGTTTTAGTCATGTGACTCCTTGTTCCTGATCTCAGACCAACTCCACACACATACAAGACTCTGCTACTGGCAAAAAGTCAGCACAGCTTCATGCAGGCATTTAACTTTTATCTCTGTCAAGCTTTTGTATCAAACCATAAATGCATGGGTGAACATGCGTTAGGAACAAAACATTTTACATGTATTTAACAAGAGTTGACTGTTTTTTTAATCCTTTTGATTGTGGAAGATCAGTATTTTTTTTCCATCTAAAGTGTTGGTCCTCCTCAATGTGTGCAGTCTCAGACTGTATTCTTGTCATGTTGGTGTTACTTTTGCTTTCTGCTTTCACTTTTCTTTCACTTTGCTCCTTCTGATTCTAATTTGTTAGAATGTACATCTAAATTACCTTCACTCCTTTGCTCCTTCAGTTTAATATAAAGCAGAGGTTTCTTTAGTCATTGCCCAATCTGTTGTTAGATTACCACATTCACCCTTATAATTTTTTTGTGGTGCCCTTAGTTATATTTTGGGTTATATTTAGTTGCAATGTTCCTTCATATGCTTAGAGCTATTTTAAATGTCTGCTACCTACCTCCAACTTCCCAGTTCAGCATTTGGTTTGGCAGTTTCCAACCTTGTAACATGTTGCATACTGATATGTTTCCATGACGTTGGTAGCATGCATACCAACTAAAATATACTCTGCTCAGCAATGCAGTAGCTATTGCAGCTAACATAACCTCAAGATAACCTCATGCAATGCCTAAAGCTCAGCAAATGATAAAGACATTCCTGATGTTTAAAGGAGTTAGTTTCAAACAAAAAAAAACCTTGATGTCGTTCTGAGGAAATCGTTTACATCATTCAAACAGGAAGCTTGAAAAGGTGCTAAAACAAACTCACATCCTAAACCACATTGGTGCACCAGGAACAAGCAGCTATATGAAAAAAAGTGCTACACTAGATGAAAGAGATGAAAAAAGTGTGCTACATTATAATGTGAGACAATACCCTTTAACTGATGCTAAAAAAAAACCTTCAACTGTGTGTCTCCACTGTTTCCACTTTACTTACTGTAAACACAAACGTTTCCTTCCAGCAGATTGGAGGCACTTTGAGTTGACTCACTGTAAGTTTGTTGCTCCAGAAGGAGCCAACAGCAGAGCATTGTGAGCTCTTCCTCCCTTGAGACACCTGTTCCCAGTCAATATGGTTCTGCAACGCAAAGTAAACCAAACCCTGTTTGCCTAAATTACAAACTGATTGTTCAAGTTAATCATCTGACCTTTTGACGACGGGCAAATGCACATCTGCCACAGACAAAAGCTAGAGATGAAGAGTACAAAAGCAGCTGAGTCAACGTGTCTGTGGTGCAGTAAAGTGTTTGGTTTCTTTATGTCATTTTGTTTATGCATAAAGATCTTCAGTACGTGAAGACAATGCAAGCACAAGTGCATTGGAGACAATGCATTGGCACCAGGTCTGTGCACAAACCTGTGAAGAATGTAACAGAGTAACAGAAACCTTATAAAGGTATTATAATCAGAACCCACCCCTGACCTAACTGTAATTTCCCGTCACACCATATTTAAACCAGAGAATATTGAAATAGATGTTGCTCTTATTTTACTCTCTTCTTAATTCAGCAAACCTGCAGGTTTCCTGATGAGACTTTTATAGCAAGTTTTAGTTTGTGGTTGTACTTTCTTTGTGAGGCCGATAAATTAAAATGGCAGCGTTATCTCACAGCAGAACAGAAACATGATTTTCAAGATTTTATTTTCAAATGTAAATCTGAAAGTATGGCATGCATTTTATTCAACCCCTTTTAATCTGATACCACTGAATTAAAAGCACTGCAACGTGTCATCACAATTTGTAGGGGAACAATGTTGAAAGAAACAGCATCTCAACAATACCTGATAGGTCAGGAATACATTTAAGTAAAAGCTCTAAGAAGGTTTAGATCATAAAACATCTCACTGAGAACTGTGTAACCCGAAGAGCATTTCACAAATCAAGCAATAAGCTGGTTGTCTACTTAAACTGACAGGCGGAGCAAGAAGAGATTAGCCAATGAAGAAGCCAGGAGGTCGAAAGCAGAATCTGTCACCATGACAAGCTTTAGTCATGTACTCCATAAATCTAGCTTTTATACAAGACCATAAGGAAGAAAGAGAGTCATCAGAAGTCTCGCTTGTACTTTCCCACAAGCTATTTAGTGAACATAGTCGACATGTGGAAAATGACGCCCAAATGAGAGCGAAATTAAAATTTGAACAACATGAGTAAACCGAAATGCATGCTTTTTTAGATTCTGGTTTTGTGTTGACTTATGTCTAAAACATTAAACCACAACAATAAAGCTTGTGGATGCAACGACACAAAATCTGAAAAAGTTCAAGGTACATAAACAGTTTTGTAATTACTAATGAGGACAGTTGATGGATTTGCCAAGTTTTCCAGCATTTCTCACCCATATATAGCATGTTTAAGTTTGTGGAAATTAATGAGAATTTTCTTGAGGGTGAAGTGGAGCCCTCGAAATAATAAACTAGGGCTTATTAGATATAAGACGCTGCCAAGAAACACCATTAAACCAGCAGTCAGTCAGTATTCAGCAGAGTTGTTTTTATAATGTAGTCAGACATTAAATGCTTTTCTTCCAGGAATAAAGATGTAAACAGACCTAAATATATTGATGTATTAGAAACTTCAAGTAAAAATGTTAGAGTTCTTATCTGATTTTATGCTCATCTTCCTTTACATATTCTGAACAGTCTTAACTGCGGCAGGAAATAGCAACTCAGTCCTAAAGACTAAAGAAATGTCATTCAAATATGAAGTGTCTAATCTTGGAGCCAAGTAGCATTTTCCACAATGTGCTCATATCAGAACTGTAAGCAAACTTAAATGGAAGCAGAACAGGAAGCAGAACTGAAATCTGTTTCCCTCATGAATTTACAGTAAATTTCCATGAATAATTAACATTCACCTCAGTTCACATCTGTAGTCAGAGTGAGGGGTTGATAATAGACATTTGGTTTGCAGGTTATAACTTGCAAACTGGCTTCGGGGTTTATAAAGAAATTAATTTTTAAGGACGTTTACTTTGATTCCCAGCATAAAGACTTTATTTCCTCCTATGTCTCTGTGTTTCCCACCCACCTAATAGACCAAGGCCTCAAACACAAAGCACACCACTGTCCTCTTCACTATGCACAAAGCTCCATTATGAACCACAACCACACAGCTGAAACCGCTGGCCTCTTGGCTGGGGTCTCTGTAACCTGACAATGACACTGGTGTCATCTCTTCTTAGACAAGTAGAAGTAATCCAAAGAAACAAAAAAAACAAAAGGTGATGGCAAAACAATTTCCTCCCAACAGCACTGAGCTCTTTAACACAGAGCACTGCGCAATCCTGGAAAGGATGTGTTGCTTAAGATAAGAAAAGAGAAACCAAAACGTAAAACAGAAAAAGAAACAGTTTATTGGGTGTAACTGTATACCTTCTGAATACAACTGCTGAAGTTCTTTAACTGTACAGGGATAAAATGCAACTTTATACACTTGATGAAGAAATGACACTGAAAAAAAAGAGAGCTTATAGCATCTGGCTCTAATTGTCACACATGTTGGAATCAGAAGTATTTGAAATATAAAGATTTTAAGGTCTCTTCAAGACCTTAAAATCTTTAAGGTTTGCAACATTTTGCTCTTTGCAAAATGTTGCAAAGAGCAACATTTTGTTTCAATTTCTATTTTATGAGTTGAATGATACAAAAAATTATCACAAAAAAGCTTGATTAAGTACTTCTGTGTTAGCTAGGATAGCCATGCCAAAGACTCAACTCTCACCAAATGTTTTTAAATCTGACTGACTGTTTTTATGGTCTTAAGTGGAGGTAAAACATTATCAATCGTCTGGAAACTCTTCATTCAACCCTCATTTACTTTTTTCTGTGATGCAAAATAAATGTGTTGCTTTGGAATTATGGAAAAGATTAAAAGAAACAAATAAAAAGCCAACACCCAAAGTACCTTAAGGATAAGAATTTCTCCTAAAAACATAAAATCCAATTGCAATCTTGATCATGTGGCTGGCCTCGTGGATTTTAACAAACACCATGCAGGCCATTAGAAAAAGGAACATGTTGCTATCTGTTGAAAAATCTAACCTTCTTATCATTGAACTCTCCAGCAAGCTATTGACCAGAAGTACTACTCTGATTCAATCACAGCTTATTTAGAAACAAACCTCATATTTGAGTGGTCTTTGACAAAAGATTAAAATTGTTCAAACATAAACAAGGCAGGAGCAGCACAGAGAAGCATGATCAAACACAATTTCCATTTGAACTTTGAAGGTCAAACTAACGTATATAAAAACATAATTTGACACTTATTGTCAGTTTTCTTCAAACACATTACTATAGTGTGTTGCAATAGAGGTTGAATATTTATGATTGCAACTGTTATCAGTTAAAATGTGTAATGTGACACTTCTACGTACTTGGTACATGTAAAATAACATATACAGTCATATGAAAAAGTTTGGGCACCCCCATTAATCTTTATTATTTTTATTTCTAAATATTTGGGTGTTTGCAACAGCTATCTCAGTTTGATATATCTAATAAGTGATGCACACAGTTATATTTCAGTACTGAAATGAGGTTTATTGTACTAATAGAAAATGGGCAATATGCATAAAAACAAAATTTGACAGGTGCAAAAATTTGGGTACCCTTTTCATTTAATTGATTTGAATACTCCAAACTACTTTTCACTGACTTACTGAAACAAAATATTGGTTTGGCAACCTCATTAAGCTTTGAACTTCATAGCCAGGTGTATCCAATCATGAGAAAAGGTATTTAAGGTGGCCGATTGCAAGTTGTTCTCCAGTCTGGATCTCCTATGAACAGTGGCATCATGGGCACATCAAAACAACTCTCAAATGATCTAAAAACAAAGACTGTTCAACACAGTTGTTTAGGGGAAGGATACAAAAAGTTATCTCAGAGATTCAAACTGTCAGTTTCCACTGTGAGGAACATAGTAAGGAAATGGAAGACCACAGAGACAGTACATGTTACACCCAGAAGTGGCAGGCCAATAAAAATATCAGAGAGGCAGAGAATAAGAATGGTGAGAACTGTGAAGGACAACCCACAGACCACCTCCAAAGACATGCAGCATCATCTTGCTGCAGATGGTGTAACTGTGCATTGTTCAACAATTCAGCGCACTTTGCACAAAGAGAAGCTGTATGGGAGAGTGATGCGACGGAAGCCTTTTCTGCAAGCACGCCACAAACGGAGTCACTTGAGGTCTGCAAAAGCACATTTGGACAAGCCAGCTTATTTTGGAATAAGGTCCTGTGGACTGATGAAACAAAGATTGAGTTGTTTGGTCATAAAAAAGACGTTATACATGGCGGCAAAAAAACACAGCGTTCCAAGAAAAACACTTGCTACCCACTTTGAAATTTGGTGGAGGTTCCATCATACTTTGGGGCTGTGTGGCCAATGCTGGTACTGGGAATATTGTTAAAGTTGAGGGTCGCATGGATTCCACTCAATATCAACAGATTCTTGAGACTAATGTTCAAGAATCAGTTATGAAGTTGAAGCTACGTCGGGGATGAATATTTCAGCAAGACAATGATCCAAAACACCGCTCCAAATCTACTCAGGCATTCATGCAGAGGAACAATTATAATGTTCTGGAACGGCCAACCCAATCCCCAGACCTGAATATTATTGAACATCTGTGGGATGAATTGAAGCGGGCTGTCCATGCTCGGCGACCATCAAACTTAACTGAACTGGAATTGTTTTGCAAAGAATGGTCAAAAATACCTTCATCCAGGATCCAGGAACTCATTAGAAGCTACCGGAAGTGACTAGAGGCTGTTATTGTTGCAAAAGGAGGATCTACTAAATATTAATGTCGCTTTTCTGTTTAGGTGCCCATATTTTTGCACCTGTCAAATTTTGTGTTTATGTGTACTGCACATTTTCTTTTAGTCCAATAAACCTCATTTCAATATTGAAATGTTACTGTGTCCATAAGTTATATCAAACTGAAATAGTTATTGCAAACATCCAAATATTTAGAAATGAAAATAATTTAGATTGATAGGGGTGCCCAAACTTTTTCATATGACTGTATTCCATTAATATGAAACACAACCATAACAATATATTATATATACTTGTATATGTATATATATAAATATAAAAAGATCTCAATACTTTTTAAGTAAAAATGGCAAGCTTAGATTGTGGAGCAAGAATGTGAAATATTCCTGTGACCATGATGAGGCTTGGAAACTTTCACATTACACAATTTGGGTCTTTTCCCTTTTATTCTTAAAATAATTTACATGAACTTTCCACATTCCCACAGAAGTCTTACGGCTTTAAAACTTCCCCTTTCTGAGCAGGACGTCCTTCAGGTGATGTCTGAGTCACTCCGGCGTATTTTTGTCGATCATTACCAGTTTTTTTTGTCATCTGTTTCATCTCTTCCTCTGAGTGACACTGGTCATGTGGCGCCTCCACACCCAGCTCCCACAGTGAGCTCTTGCAGTCCACCTTTGCACATGTAAGGATGCTGAATACTGGTTTCCGGAAATTTCCACAAAACAAAAAATATAAAGGAGGCCTGACGCAGGCACTGATGCAGCTTACAGCTGAGGTGGCTTTCACGGCTGCTTTTAAAGAATTAATAGGATCTACAAAAACGCTTGTGAGAAACGTTTTTGTGTAGCAGATGGTGTCTATTATAAGGGTGATGTTGTATGGGATCCAGCAGAGCAGGGAAGCTCCTACCAGAGACAGGATAAGCAGAACAGATCTTATCTTGATCTGGCGGTTGGATTTGCATTGTATCATGATGTGGGAACAGAACACAATTTGGATAAGTGCCGGGATCCAGAAGCCAACTCCGAGGTGGAGCACACGTGAGATTAGCTGCCAGTCAACTTTAGTTTTGAGGTGAGGATGAGCAGAGAGGGCTTTTCCTGGCAATGACTCGGTATTGACAAGAAAAATCCCATCCAGGACACTAAGGCTGATAGAAATGAGCCACACCAGCAGACAGCCAAGGATTACCAAGCTGGTTCTGTGGTTTCTATACCAGCCAGTATGTGTGGAGGAGAAGTAGAGATCCAGGCAGATGCAAACCAGAAGAAATCCCCCCACATATAGGTTGATCTAGAAAAAGAAAAACAAAGTCAGAAGAAAACCTTTTATGAAAGTCACTAAAAATATTCCCACAGCCTCAGGAAATTGACTATTTTATACAGTCAATCTATAAAATAGTCCATTTCAATTTCCAAACCATATTATCCAATATGGTTTGGATAATATGTCTGACATACTTCAAGGAACTTTGTAGCATCTTTGACTAGGACATTTTCTTTAAATCCTGTTGAATAGGTAAATAGGGCATCTTACCATCACTTCTACAGCAATGCCAAAATTGTTAGTTTGTAATAGTTATAGTTATTGTGTAGTTCTGGGTTATATTTCTAACTTGGACTTGGTACCACACAGAGAGTTGACGCTACATCAAGAAACCTGTTTCCTTGCATGTCCCAGACAAAACCTGGAAAGGATGTGAGGAAAGTTCATGTTCCCAGAGCAGAAGGCTTGTCTGATAAGAGATTTTTTTTTTTTTTAGATACAGGATATACACAGCTCTTGCAGCCAAACGATTTTCACAGAAATCTCTTTCACTGTCAGATTTCAACAGAAAACCTACCTTAAAAAAAGCTCCACAGACCATGAGGACAATCTGTGAGCACCATCCACAGCTTTGAGTGGCCTGGGCAGCATGGACGGGCAGGGTGAGCAACAGCAGGATATCCACCACCCCTAGCTGGAGAATAAAGCTGTCCGATATTCTCCAGGGTCGCCTCTTCTGAGCCAGGACTGCCAGGAGAAGTCCATTCCCCAGCAGCCCGACGATCACCAATATGGAGAACAGAATTGGGATCCACACTGCCTTATGGACATCAACATCTTCATCTTCATCTTTAATTTCGTAGTCATTGTCATAGTCATAAGAAGACTGGTTAAACACTCCATCCAAAATGACCATTGTAAGCTTATGAGACACAAACAGGAGAGAGTTCAGAAGTGATACAGCCTCTCAGCACCTCAAAAACAAACATTTATACTCTCTACTCTCTCTCTTTCTCTTTGCAACAGAGCAGAACAATTAAAAAAAACATTCCTTTGGGAAATCCAGCTCATAATAACGTGCTGACACTCACACATAGCCTAAATGGTGCAATGTCATTATTACGAAATTAAAAAAAAAACCAATTCCTGTTAGTCGCTCACACATGAACACAGTTTTATAATTCAATATAATTCAATTCAATGTCAAACGATTCAGTCACTTCACATGCAGTTTGTCAACTCCATGTCAAATGTTTGTTGTAAAACATTATTTATTTAAGATAAAATCTGTCCAAGTTGTGTGAGCACATGCCATAGGATGACATCACATTAGGCACAAGAGTTTTAAGTATACTAGATGTTTTTTCCAGCTGATTACTCACGCATTGAGTGAAATTCATTCTAAAAATTTCACTGGAAATCCGCAGTAAAACTGTTAAGGTGTATTATTTACGACAATACGAGAACAAAGACAGATTGAAAAGGAACTTCGGGATTTATTAGAAAAATACATTTCCTCCCATAGTATACACAAATGCATCTCATCTATTTCCTTGCCTGTTCTGACGTCAGCAACTCAAAGACGAAAATGAGTTTTTTTTTTTTTTTTTAAACCTCCTCTGTGCTTTTTAAAGTAACGTCTTTTGGGAAATCATGAAGTGGAAACTGATGCTTCACAACCTCACTGTGCTGAAAATGTCAAATCCAGCCTCGCTTTCAACCTTAAGCACGTTTACAGTGAGCTTCGGTCACTTGCATTTGACCACAAACTGAGACCTGGTCTAGTCGAAACTGAAGTTTGAATGCAAGCGACAGTTTCCAGTAGCAGACAAGAGAGGTTGTGCGATCACTTACCGATATGCCCCGGAGGGTTTCAGCTGCAGGGTTTGTTCAGGTGTCGCCTTCGCGGTGTGCAGAGATAAACGCAACAGTTTTTTTGCGCACAACTCGCCAGGCAGACTCGGACAGTGAAACAAGACGCCCCCTGTTTTTGGTAAGATGCCAGGCGTTTTGCAGCAGCTGACAAGCGGCTGTCAAGTTCTGCGTAAAAAGAAAACCCCAAAACAAACAAACTCCTGCTCACAGAGACACCTTATTGGTTTTCTTAATTATACGTCATTGATCATGACTGTTTAAGAAACGAAACCGTTTGGAGCGAGTTTTAGGGGTGGATCTTCAGAAACAAAAAAAGAAAGAGAAAGACATCAAGACTGACGTAGAAAAACGCGCACCTGCTGGAAGTTGTGCGTCTCTGAGGCAGATCTGACTGTACAGTAAAGACACAAATAAATAAAGGGGGACAAACACAGACTTCAATTCTTTTTCTCACTTTGCTGCTTTCGATTTTACAAAACGCTTTTTGTGTTCCTTTTTCTGTCAACTGACACGACCTAAAGCCTGTTGGTTGTATCACTTTTCAAAATAAAATCTGCAATAAAATATATTTACCAAAATATAAATATAAGCCTTATACAAATCAACACAAACAATTGCTTAAATTAGCGCGTTGCGGGTTTTTGTTCAGCTAATTGGAAAAAGTTATATGCCATAACGAAATATATTAAGACGCTACGGTGTAATTTTGAAGACGACCTTTCCTCACTTCCGCACACGTCAGTGTTGAAGTACTTTGACAACCAATGAGTGAAAAACACAAAGCGATGCTGCACTAACGGGACATTTCCACCAGAGGGAGCTGTTGTATGGGATGAAAAACAGACTCGTCACTTATTTAGCGGGAAATAAGGAATAAGTATTAATTCTTCCAAGATTTAAATGAAAAAAACTGTAATATTTTAGAGGGAACAGTGGGATTAAGTGAGGAATAATCTAGCTTCGGTTATTTCCCGATTATTGCAATAACAGATTGAAATCTGTATTTAAATATCTCAAGTGGGATTTCTTTCTAGATATCAAAAACTTCCAAACATCGGTTGCATATTTGTCTTTTCTGTTTTTTTTTTGTTTTTTTTTTTTTAATTGAAAATTATATTATATCCCCTTGATGGACTGTGAAGTACAGGGTGTGATCTTTGCATTTTTACAATACTGTACTGAATTTCTGGAGACCATCACACATAATAACTGAAGATAAAAGTAGCTCTAAAAGTGGGTTTGGAATAATAGTCCTACAACAAATTTTGAAACTTTTGGGGTTTTTATGTTTTTCCACTTAAAACTAAAACAAACAATGGGCCTGCCTTTCTCGAGTTTTAAGCCATGATTTCAGAAATCCTCTTTCACGTACTTTCCATTTTGAACAAACCTTAATGTAGATACAGTTCATCTTATGACACGCAGCATTAAATTTGTACAAAGATGACACAAAGCTTTACTGAACATCAATTCAGGAAGCATGAGTCATGCATTGCACACATATGAAGCACCTTCAGCCACATGAACCACCAGTGGTGAAGCCATTGCTGTGAAAGTGTCTCACCAATGACACAGACACTATTTACTATGGTGGACTTTAGTTTTGCAAAACAAAAAAAAAAAAAATTTGCCAAAGAAGTGAAGCCTTATATTAACAAATTGTTTTATTATTTTTTCTGATTTTCATATTGATGGCTAATATATGACATTTTTATATGTGAAGATATCCAGTTAGCCAGACTTCTAAAGTAATTATGAAATCACCACAGCAAACCTTCAGACAAACTGTAAGTTGAAAACTTAAGTTGTATTTTGAAGAAGTGTCATAGTGGCAGTTATTGTAACATTTTTCAACACCAGTTTCTTTGTGAAGTCAACCATTTTGTAAAAATGCTGTCATGTTTCAAATAAACTTTTTAAAGTGGGCATTTATATAATCATATTGTAAATTGAAGCAAGTTTCATGTGTACATAACCCAGGTTGTGCACAACCTGGGTGAGCAACCGTTGCAACCGTGAGTCATTTTTAACTTCAAGACTTTTTGATGTAAAGCCCAAAAGGAACATGACTTAAAGTATAGGAGTTATATTTTTAAACTAAAGAACAATTTCAATTAAACTTTTTAGGGTTATTGCAATTTTTCTTCAACTGGGCCTTCTGTTTTATATAGACTTTTGGACATCAATATAAAGAACTATTTGCGACCCACTTCCAAAAAAAATATTACTTAATAAAAAAAATGAAATTTTTTGTACTGTTAGTGCCATTCTTTGGCAAATTATCATGCATATATTAAAAAAAACACCTCCAAGAAACTTTTGAGTTTCTCTTGCCTTTACATTTTTTAGGGCTTTAGGAGCCATAGTGGGTGGTCTAAAGAGCAGATGGTCCTAAATCTGGCTTTGCATTGTCATAAGATGATACACTTAACTTAATCTGAGCTTTTTCTGATGTTAGAAACACTTTGACATGTTTGAGCAACGTATTGATACCATATTACATGTGGAGCCCGGCTTTGAATTCTGTACTTTATAAAACAATGAAAACCTAAAATTCACCAGAGCTGATTTGTTATTCTTCTTAGATTTTCTTTTTTTAAAAAACATGCACCAAGACTAAATGTCCAACATGAGATCATTCACTTTGTTAAATTCCTAATGTAAACATTTGCAAAGAATTAGGTATAGCAGCAAGAACATTTTGCTGATAATGCTTTTATGTCTGCAAAATATTGGTATTTATGCCAAAAAGAGGTTCTTTTTTGCTGACCTAGCACTCTTTTTTGGCTTTAACTTTAATTGCTGACAATAAATAGTATTTTTGCTGATACACTCTGGGTATTATTGGGTTAAACCACTACAAAAACAAGAATAGGTGCTGACTATTTGATTTGTAAAGGTCAACGTTCATCCTGTCTTCTCATAGCATCACTTGCATTGACCCAGGGTTTGCACTTTACCTCTGCATATGTCTGCAGAAAGTCAAATTACATAAAGGACAGACACCTTATCTTAATTGCAAAAAATTTATTTCCAAGAAATCATCCATAGAAAACATAGAGAAACTTTAATATGTACAAAATCCTGGTTCATTTCCTCTTTTACAGCAAAGTTTTACGTTCAACATATCTATCTGAGAGAAAAAAAAAAACATTTCATGAAAAATAGTAAGATAAACCTTTAACACATCCAGCAATTCAATATATACAGGTGGACCTCCTGAGAATTGGACAAGCAATAAACTGTGACAAAGAAGTCTGATTGCTGAGGGTGAAGTCAGGCTTGAAACTGCTGAACAAGCTTTTTTAAGTATGAAGAAATCCCCATATTTCTCAAGATGTAACCCTGGGACAGAAAAATCTGCACGTTCCCAGAAACGCTTTATAGCTTCACCTTGTACAATCTATGCAGTGCTACAGTGTTGACAATAAGACATAAAAAAAAACAACATGAAGAGAACTACACTGACAATTAAGCACCAATGTTACATAAACAGACATTAAAGTTGTTGTGGAATTATTTTTTTGAAGTTTCTATATATTTCAAACCTCACTCTCCACCACTCAGCCACATTTATTACTTCACTTCTAAACCATATCAGATCATGACGGAGTAGGAGGTATGTTCACTTTCTGCAGATGTTAGAGATCCTGTGCTTTTTCTAGATCTTCTCTCCTTCAACCTTTCAATTCCCACCCAGCCTCTCTGCCCAAGCATCTCCTTGCACATTTTCAGCAGCTCCCTCCTGAACTTCACCCCAACAAAGCCGTACAGCAGAGGGTTCAGGGCACAGTGTGAAAGCCCCAGGCTTTCAGTAATCAGAATCCCCATGTCCAGCACATAACCAAACATGCAGCCTCCAGCCACCACACGCAGCTTCTGCAGGCTGTCTGCCAGCTGGAAGCAGTTGTACGGAGCCCAGCAGATGACGAAAACAGATACCAACGAGATGATGAGACGGAGAGACTTGCGCCTTTGACGACGAGTGGCGTTGCACAGAGACCTGAAGATCTGGACGTAGCAGTAGAGCATGACGAGCAGGGGAAG